TCTGTTCGCATAAACCCTAAAACCCTAAAACCCTAAAACCCTAAAACCCTAAGCCTAAACCCTAAAACCCCAACCCCAAAGATTCGAATAACCCACCCGGCCTCTCTCACTATGGAAAATGAATTGACCCGGCCATCGTGCCGACTTGCTGCCTTGCCTGGACGAGGGTTTAGGGTTTAGGGTTTAGGGTTTAGGGTTTAGGGTTTAGGGTTTAGGGTCTAGGGTTTAGGGTTTAGGGATTGTAGGTTTGAGGTTTTAGGTTTTAGGGCTTAGGCTTGGAGTTTAAAGTTTCGGGCTAAGGGTTTAGGGCTTAAGGCTTAGAGTTTTAAGGGGGGGTTCTGAAATTAGCGGGTATGCCAGGTTTCTTGTTGAGGAGTCTTGCAACAGAGATCCTAGTTTAAGGTCTGATCTTGAGGTCCTCCGAGTAGTTCAAATTGGGGCTTTGAGGGTTTGAACTGTAGGGGTCAAACTGGGGCTGGGACCTAGGATGTTTGAATAGGTGTTTTCAGTGAGGACTGGAGGTTTAGGGTTTGGGGTTTCAGGAACTGGACCGGGCGAAGGCAAAACTGGAAAAGGCGACAAAAAGCGGTAAAAAAGATGCAAAGGTGAGTTGCCGCTGCGTGTTCGAGCGCCTTCGCTCTCACATGCTAGCACCGTCGTTGTGCGGCTCAACATATCGTGTGGATTGCTCGTGAAATCAGCCTTATGTTGGAAGCGCTGAACGCCTAAAAGCAGCCTCGATCGATGCTACAAATCTACGGCAGGAGGCCGATGGCATGACCGTATGACAACATGGAAAGCATCGTGGCCTATTGATTCAGATCTGTTTCGTTAAGCAACCTAGAGAAAAGCAATCCAACAGAGCCGAACCCTTGCACGACAACAAGGCAACATGATAGTGACAATGTAGCATGCATACAGTGGTGACAGATACCACAGACAGACAACATCCTCGTTTGATGGTGCAGCTGTGTAACCGTCTAACCACAACTGCTTCGTGGTGATACGATCGCGATCATGACGGAAGATGACGTAATCGAGTAGAGAACTCAAGCTCCACCGCAATGAGTAACCCTCGCCGGGAGGACCGTCATGACCATGACCATGGCCCTCACCGTGCGATGAGCTATGAGCATCACCGTGGCCTGAATAGCCTCCTTAGAGCTTTGAAGATCGGGCTGCTGTGGCTTCTGTGGCTTCTGTTCCAAGTCACGAAGGTGTATTGTTATTTCGATACGTGCCCCGATGGCATAGGATTTTGCCTATGATCCATCACAGCATGCGCGCAATGCTTAGCCTACCGCCGTCTTGATATACGATCTCACACTTCGGCCCATGCTATTTTCCGAGAGGACACAAGCTCAGCTAATGAGCTTTGCGGAAACTCCAGCAACTCTGAATTCAGAAACCGGAGCTGCCAGTGGCAGCCCGAGGCAACGACCATCATGGCCGCCATGGCCGCCATGGCCACCATGGCCACCGCCATGGTCCTGGCATTTGTAGGTTTAGGGTTTAGGGTTTAGGGTTTAGGATTGCTACAGTCATTTTCTGATGCAGTTGTCAATGATGTTGTCAGTATGCTGCTGGTAGTGGCAGGAGCAGCACGCTTAGCATTCGTAAACGCGATGCCGCTCGTCGATCGTAGTCGTAGTCCTCGTAGCCGAAGCAAGAGTTAGAGGAGCAGCAGGCAGCAGCAGCAGCAGTAGCAGCAGTTAATAGTAGCGGTAGTAGTAGTAGTAGTAGTAGTAGTTGTTGTTGTTGTTGTTGTAGCAGCAGCAGCAGCAGCAGCAGCAGCAGCAGCAGCAGTAGTAGTAGTAACAGTAATAATAGTAGTAGTAGTAGTAGTCGTCGTCGTAGTAGTAGTAGTAATCGTAGTAGTAGTCGTAGTAGTAGTAGTAGTAGTAGTAGTAGTAGCAGCAGCAGTAGTAGCAGAAGTTAGTAGTAGCAGCAATAGCAGCAGTAGTAGTAGTAGTAGTAGTAGTAGTAGTAGTAGTAGTAGTACTAGTATAGCACTACTAGCAGTAGTAGTAGTAGTAGTAGTAGTAGTAGTAGTAGTAGTAGTAGTACTAGTATTATTAT